AGGGCTCCGGAATTCCGGATCATCCGGAGTTTCTTTAACGTGCACCTAAATCTAAGTAAGCGGGTCTCATGCATTTTCGTTTTCATCAAATATTTGACCGAATAATAATAATAATAATAATAATAATAATAATAATAATAATAATAATAATAATAATAATAATAATAATAATAATAATAATAATAATAATAATAGTTTGATGCTATACGTCTTAAAACTACGGTATATATGCTCATGAGAGATGTCGTGGATGAGGACTCCAGAAATTTGACCCATCTGGTGTTTCGTTTAACGTGCACTTACATAGCTTATATAGTCCCCCGAAATTTCGCCTCCATTGAAATGTGGCCGCCGCGGCCAGCATCGAACCCGCGACCTTTAATTCAGCAGCCGAGTATCATAAACACTGCTTCGCCGTGGCGGATCAACATCTTATCTATACGTTTACTAAAGACGTTGGTTTTGGCGCAATGCTAGAAGCAGGAAAAAGACAGAGAAAAGAAACAGAAGAGTGCCAGAATTGTGTGTCTTTGTTATGTTTCTAGTACTGCGCCGGAAGTAATGTGAATATGTGCAATAAGCAAATATGTGCAATGAATGTGAATGAATATATGTGAATGAATATATGTGAATGAATATGATGAATAATATACGTGAGTAAATATGAATGAATATATATGTGCAATGAAATGTGCAATAGGCAAATATGTGCACCGACCCACACAAGAACAAATTATTCCAAATATGCGGCTGCCGCGGCCGGTATTCAGGCCCGTGACCTCCTGCATGTAGACAACTATAACCACTATATCTTCACTGATACGTTCCGTATGCGATGTCCAATAATTCCGTATGTTTCCGTAAGAATCTTACGGAAATATATGAAAAAATATATGGGGAACATATGTATTCTGTATGGAAACATATGTAATTATTGGACTCGCATACGGAACGTTTCATTATATTACTACCGTGGTGGGTGGAAAACTCAGGCTGTTATATAGTTCAACGGCTCTTCTCCCATTTGGCGCATAACCTCTACGTAAAGGCCTCTACTTAAAGAGCGCCATATACATATGCATAACTTGAAGGTCGCTATTTTGGCGGGCTGTTGAGATGATGAAGTGTTATCTTGGTGCGGATGGGAAGCAACTTGTTATAACACGAGAAGTAACACTAGCGGAACGTTGACCCAATGAGCAGTTCGTTAACGCCATTTCATTGTCTTTACCATACCGCGTTTTCTTTGAAAGCCATCGGACAGGTGTGCAAGAGTAGTCTATTTGTATGTCTACACAACGGAGCGCTTTTCTACTCTGCCGGCTTTAAACAAAGAGGTGAATTGACTCCTGCAGATGCTTCGCTTTTCGCTCAAACTTCTGAAACAATATTCCCGCGTGATTCGGCGAGACACCTGGCACTGTTGTTTACTAGGTTTTTTTTTTTTTTTTGCGACCGTGCAGAGCAGCAGTGAAGCTAGACTTCGTCTTTGCAACAATAGCAGCATGCTTTTCAGATGTCGAAGTGCGCATACGCCGACCCTTCGCTTTAATGCGCAACATAATTTGGTGAGTTGTTTTGTCCGTCTGGGCGTCTGTCCGTTGGCCGCAAATAAAAATCAAAAGCTTTATTGAAAAAACAATATGTTTTTAAGTATATAGTTTACAAGAATATCGCTCGCTTCTAGAAATTTGATTACTGCCGGTAATTCACGCTTTTGCAGTGTTGGTCGTCCTTCTAAGTTCCAAGATCTCTTCGTACAGCCCCGCCGCGTTGGTCTAGTGGCTAAGGTACTCGGATGCTGACCCGCAGGTCGCGGGATCGAATCCCGGCTGCGGCGGCTGCATTTCTGATGGAGGCGGAAATGTTGTAGGCCCGTGTGCTCAGATTTGGGTGCACGTTAAAGAATCCCAGGTGGTCGAAATTTCCGGAGCCCTCCACTACGGCGTCTCTCATAATCATATGGTGGTTTTGGGACGTTAAACCCCACGTATCAATCAATCCGTTTGTACAGTTACGGCGAACGCATATGCCCTTTAGTGGTGGTCGGTATACAATTGTAACACGTCGGCTGCGGAGGCGCATCGCGCACCGTGTACTTTTCAAATAGCTCTAAGCACAGTGTGCCCACTTGATGTGCAGGCTTCCCGAGTCGATGGCTAGAGGTTGTTTAACTTCACTGTTGTGGGCGTTGCTGCAGAGGATCGCTTTGCTGGAGACACTATATCATGTTCGGCCATCGTACCGCACTCTAGGACCAACGCCAAGAGAATCACTTTTATTTGCTCACAACAAATACAGCCAAAACAAAACAAAACTGGACATGCATGTTGGGCTTTAGATTCAGCTCCTGTTATGCAAGAATCGAAACTATCTTCAGAATAAATAGATGTTTAATTACACGCTAGTCACCATCAATTATTGAAACCCGCTGAAACCACAAATTTTCTCATTTTTTTTTCTTAGAATGCAGTATTGAATGCGTTAGAACTATATCATATCTAAATTTGACGCGTTTGTGGACACCATCATAAATCGCTCCTGAAGGTTATCTCCTCTCGCCAGGATTTGCGTATATAACGACTGTGTGATAGAAAAGTTGTTGCTGTTGACTTCTGGTGACGTCTCTTACGGCGATCGCCGCGACAGCATTCGACCTTTGAACAAACGTTACCGAACAAGTTTCAAACTTTGACGGCGTGCAGCGCGCGACGCGTACCATAAAAAGGCTCTCGTCGACAGTTGCCGCCTCAGTGCAACCTATTATACAGTAAGTCGTAGAAGAAAGATTTTTCAAAGCCGCTTTTTGCACGATGCCGCGTCATCGTTCATCTAGTGACAGCCAGCCCATATAAGCATGCGCGGTGTGTAGGAAGGGGTGAAACGACGCAGTTGTGTTTGCTGAACAAATGACAATGCCTGCATGCGCGCTTGGAAACACCTGAGTGCGCGGCAACGTGCTCGCGGACTGACCAAAGCTGGACACACGTTTCTTTCGTACTTGCGGCTTACGTATAATTCATTTTGAGGACTCTGTGTGAGCAGCAAAATAGCGTTTCCTCGTGCCTATACTTCTCTTACGCGTAATACTGTCATACGCCAAACTGCTATTATCTATGCGACGGGCCTATGCTCTGGCGTCATCGATACCGCCATGTGTTGTTCTACATTCAGTGTGGACGCGGTGGAAAGCTGCGCTTCAGGTCGTTGTGTTTACCACCGGAAGCACTGCGAAAGTTGTGGATAGGGCTGAAGATGGCATGTGTGACGTCATGTGAACGCATATGGGTGGCAAGATTCGCGCCACTCGGGCCATCTGTATACACGCAGTGCCACGAGAGTTGGCACAAGAATTGGTGATGGGACGCATCGACAACTTCTGTAAGCTTCTTAGGGTGGTGCCGCTTTCTCAAAACTTTGTCATTGTATACGCGCGCGCGCGCGTGCGCGTGCGTGCGTGCGCGTGTGTGTGTGTGTGTGTGTGTGTGTGTTTGAATATAAACAACACAAACACACAAAAATTGAAAAATAAAATAAATATATTGACGCTTGGCGTTCCGACTCTGGCTTGTTCGGATGACGAAACCGTCCACGTCGTGACCAACAGGCATGTATATTTACGACTGCAAACTCTGACAAATTTATCTGTAAGCGCCTGACTGCAGCACGTTCAATTTCGTAACTTGTAGTTGTGTTGCTACAAGTAAATCAATGATGAATAATTGACTGGCTGCTAATTAGCGGGATCCTAACTTACTGCTAATTAGAACGTGATCCTGAGATCTCCTCGCTACCACAGAATGGTCAAGTACTTCTGTAGGTTTTGGTGCATAATAATTATAGAACAACATATGATCAACATGAGTCATCATAATTGCCTCTGAATCATATCGTAGTTATGGCACGTGGAAATTCGATATCGATTTAGTTGTCTTCGTATTTTTCATTCTGCTTTGCTGCATTCATGCCGAGTGCTTTTACTATATACTGTCTTTCACATTGGATGCCATGGTGTGCACTTCACTTCGATTAAACTGAAGTGTGTGCTCTAAACGTGAGTAGGCACGTTAAGGCGGCGTCACTTCAGTAGACGTGCCTGCAAAGCCAACGATGGCCATAAAATTGCTCAATTTATGCAAGGGCATTTACATACTTCTCTTAACGTTTTGTCCTGAGCCACGAAAATGCGGCACAGCGTGCATCACATGATACTGATTCCAGCATGTGTGGGATCTGTCGTAATCGATTCTATTAAGCTTTCTTTTCAAGTGGTCAGGAATGCTTTTCCGGGTTTTCCCCTGTTCTTCGCATCACAGTTAAAACGGACAAGATCTATCTGAATTGCCACTCAAACAAACGTATGCGCTCATCACCCAGGGTGAGTAACTGTCGATAAGACGATAAAACGCCGTGTAGCGCGAAAGTTTGTAGGCACAGCCGTGTTCTGAATAGGAAATCGACGACGAAAACGCTCCCGAGTTATCATCCGTGGCCTGTTACCGAAGCAAGGTGACCGGAAGCGAAGAGCAGTAGTACCATATATTCAGGATGAGCAAGCTGTACAATGCAGTTAGTCGAGATGAGTGCGAAGCGAATGGCCGTCGTGTTCCCACACCTTTTGCGAGTGTTACCTCCGTATTCACGAAAGTTCCTCGACTCGACTTTCACGACGATAGTTATAGCGCGAGAACAAAACGACGACGCAGAGACAAGAAGGACACGAAAGACAACCTTCATTTGACAAAGTTAAGCACTGCGCCACCGCTCGGCTGAAAACGACGCTGCACTACTCAATAATCGCAGCAGATAATCGATTATATGCAGTAACCTGCCGTGCATAGAGACGGCGCTCTCATCGGCTTTCTCAAGTGAAGGTGAAGCTTCGAGTGAAAGGCCGTTCTAAAATACGGGGGTTAACGTCTCTCGCTAAACAGTGGAGGTGAGCTCGCGAGGCTGCCATTGCGTTCTGCGCGTGCGCAGTCTGAGCGTGCTTAGTTGCGTGCAGCGTGGTACCGCTTACCCTATATCAAAGGATGTGCTCTGTGTCTGCACCCGTTAACAGAGCCAGCACGAGAAGGCATTCGTGGAGTCCCAGACGGCGTCGCTTAAGCGGGTCGTGCGCTCGTCGACCAAGCAGGCGAGCTGCATACCGCGCTTCTACTACCCGGCCGGCAAACCCATGACGCCCGCGCAGCTGGACGCCCACCTGCTCAAGGTCAAGGCGGCCTTCGCCAGCCTCAGGGATGGACGGGCCACCAGGACGAACTTCAGCGCCATCATCCGGGTGAGAACGTCACGACCTTCTCCTTCCTGCGTATACTACGCGTATACGTGAGGCAAAGACGTCGATTTTCCTCTCGCGTGACAGTATCGATTGACACTGTCACGTGCTGCGGTTGTCCTTACAGTAATAAGAACACTTGGGGTGTAACGCGTCGAAATAACAGGCGCCTTCAGGGCCTACTTAGTAATAACTTGAAAGTGATTACGGTGAACACGGATACGTTTTCGTGGCGGTGAAGACAGCGAGACTGTTAAAAATGGAACTTTTTACTGAGTGAACTTGTGTCTGGAAAATCGAGTATATATAGAGCATTCACGGCGCAGGCGAGTGATACCGTCGCCTCACGGCACACCGTTAATCGCGATTAGGCACGATTGAGATCGAATTTCTTAACAGTGATTAGCATTCCTTCTTCAGCTTGTATGAAGGTGATAGTCAGGATCGAGAAAATCAATACGGATCAGGTCCGATGCCGATCACAAGTGATCATGGAACACCGGTATAACACTCGCAAGACAACAATAACGGCGAGTACAGTTGTCGATCGTCGATTAATGTGATGGTAGACTTCGTCGTTACGAAGTTATTCAAAATCTCGGTCTCATCGCGGATTCTCGCGTTAGCTCCACAATAAATTTAACTACTCACGTCGTACTTGCAATCTTTTCGGATAAGCATACAACTACGGTGGTGTTTCTCGAGACATTCCTTTCCACCGCAACACCTTCGTCACGTAGCACTGTGGAACAAGCTTAGTTTTGTTCGTTCATTCTCCATATATAACCCTCTCGTGATCTACTCTTGAAGGCGAAAGTCAAGCGTTCTCCACTTGTCATCTCTTTTATGAGTCAAGTCCGATCACACAAAGAATAAAGAAACGAACGCATGTGTCAATATTTATCGCGAAACTCTAGTTGTATGACTTGCTGTCAAAGGAATCAGTTTAGGGACCCCGAACTTGTTCACGAAGTGGAGATGAGAAGGAAACAAAGTAAAAGAAAAAGGGACAGGAAGGTTAAACAGAAAACTGTACGGTTGGGTACCATGCGCTGAGGGTCCGCATAGCTTTCCAGCCCAATAACCGGCTGCATTTTTGCTTCAGACACGTAGTATCCTGCTGCAATGAAGCGGGAGCACATGAACATATTGATTCCGGTAATAACGTACTGTTGTGAACCATTCTAAACGCACTATTCGACCGGTTTTCAAAAGTACACCCCCTTTCCTTAGAAATATTTTTTTTTTAAATTGGACAACCTGTGCTGTTGTTGCATGGCCGGTACGTGTCAGTAGCTGATTACTTGCGATAATTTCGGCGTGCAAAAGCCAATGTTGGTGTTAATATGTTTATATGTCTTACTTTACCTGTCGCTGAAATTGTGTCTTGTTTGCCTGTGGCTGAAAACATTTCGCGGCAGCCCCGACTGAGAAGAATATCTTGAGATAAAAGTTCAAGCCAACCTTTCCAAAAATCTTCTCTGAAAGAACCCTTTCCTTCCAATTAAAGAACATCTAAAGACAAGTAGTACCGGTGGCTCACCGTCCGGGAATTCCACCCCCGCCTGTAATGGAGACTGAATTTTCTCTCCAAACTGCAACCGGTATTCGTTACCCTGATCACCTTCAATGTTGTGGTCATGTTCAGGAAGTGACGCTGTCTCTTAAGTAAGACGTGCTGCGATGCTGATTTGATTTGATTCGTGTTCTGCAGGCGTGTGGTGTGCCTCTCTACTGGAAGATGCCGCTGTTCGCAGCCAGCGGGGGAGAAACCCGCAGTTACGTCACCAGTGACGTGTTCATAGATTTCTGGAAGAGGTACGCAGTCCTGGCCGCACAGTAGTCCTTACATTCTCACTCGATTTTCGTAAGCGCGCAACACAGGGCACAGCAGAGAGATGGCAAGTCTCGTTTCCCTCCTTTCTGAGTTAATCGAAGAGGAAAAGTATTGAGTGGAAAAAAAGTGTCATTAAACAAAACTCAACGTTTGCTTTAACCAATCTTATTCATTTCAAACCAGATGCAGTTTCTGGTTACGCCTTAGACATGAGTAGTGGGCGCTTCGTAGAATCTTGCGTTTCGTATACGATTAAAATGTGTGGAATATATTTGGGCGCAGATGGACAACACACAAGCAGAGAGGATGACTGCTGCGTGTTCATTTGCACTCGAATCTATTCCTCAATGAACCAACGCACCCAACAAGCCATTGTGTCGTCTAAAAGGTGCGCCTGTGTACATATATACCATCGCTAGGGTGCCATTAAAAATAACTAGGTGGTACCTGCTATTGATTTATTTAATCAACTTGAGTTACCCTACTTCTATACGTCAGATGGCGAGTGGGTGAGTGGCTCAGTTAGTATTTTGCCACGTCGCAGCTCGCGCGGAGGGCTCTTCATCTGTACCGTTCGTCAGCTGTAACCACACGAAGCCTATGTCGGGTGCTTGCTTGGTGAAGAGAATCAGCCCAGCATGAGAGCGTTCGCTTTTAAGTCGTGCAATAATTAACGCTGCAACTATACGCTTCTGATATGCGTGAAACTTAGCTGTAGCGTTTCGATCCAAACGTGTATACCGAGATCACTGAAGCTTGGTGTCGGAGCGGCAAAGATGTTATTTTCTCCCTTGAAAGGATAACAAGCAGGTATATTTGTTCTCGAAGCGTCTTTTTCTTGAGGTCCCTCTCCTCGTAGTACAGGGAAGAGGTTCAAATGGGTGGAACAGTGCTGAAGCATAAAGACCAGGCTTTTCGCAATCAATGCCGAACGACGTGTTGGCAGCAGGCCTCGTTTTTTTTTTTTTCCTTCTTGAGATAGAAGGTAAACACTGTAGTTTGCCGAGCCCTATTTTCAAGTTTCCCAGCCTAGCTATTCATGAAAGGTCTTGCTCTTGTTATCTGAGACTGTTTAGCTCTGTGTTTGCAACAGCAAAAAAAAGTATGCAGAAAGAAGAGGAGAAAAAATGAAGTCGGAACAAGGAAACGGACAAAGTACGAAAAGTGTAAAAACAGAACGACGTAGGCATGGACGTAGCTGGCTCTCGGCCCCGGCAAAAGAGCGCGCGAAAGTTTTAAGAGCGTGTAGGTGTATAAATGCAGGTTAGAAGGCGGTCGTTTGGCTCCCGATGTAGGCTGCGTGTCTGTGGTGTACGTACCCGCGGCTGCTGTACCAACCTTCCCCTGCCCTCCACCCTTTTTGTAAACCATGCCCTTCACTGCAAGGGCACATCTCAGAGGAAGGCGCGTTTTAAACATACATACATACATACATACATACATACATACATACATACATACATACATACATACATACATACATACATACATACATACATACATACATACATACATACATACATACATACATACATACATACATATGCGCCCACCCTTACTTTGTGGTCCGTCTCATCAACTTGTTTTCATTCCTCTCTTTCCTTACTTCCTAACGAGGAGGCCATCATCCTTATGGCCCACAAAAGCAGTTATCTTGTTCTCACCATATGTTGACATTTCATTTGAATACATTTATCTTGTGCTTGTTAATATTATTCTAATAATAATAAATACAACAATAACTTTGTCTTCAGGATAGTGTCTACTGGTCGCGACGAACCAACGTGGTTCGTCAAGATCCTCAGCAAAGCCACGAGGAACTACCTGGTGCCCGAGGACTTCATTCCCATGATGCAGGTGAGTGATCACTCGGCGCTTTGTGTCATTGCGGTGTACGACGCTGTCGATATACGCAGCCTGTGTAACACGTTACATGTAAACTACTCGTTTAGTATTCGTAGTTATCGGCTTTTTCAATATTGTGATACAGTGGAGTGGCAGCGTTTGTTAGAATGCATTCGAATGCTATGCATTTGTCGGTGGCATCATGTAGAAAATAAATGTCGCCACTATGTGTGATATTCTTTAAATAAAAAGAAACAACACGCATCTAACTTAGTATTTCTTTCGGTAGACGAGTATGCATCCTGTCATTTATTTTCATTGCTTCCGGCCAAAGCACCAATGACCGAAAACTTTGCAACTGTGACAGCAGTGAACGACAGCAAAGACACTGGAAACGCAAAGCGGCCCTCCAAGATGAGTACCTGTATGCGTTACCAAAAGCCATGTCAGGCTACCGCTCTTGCCCAGCCGCGGTGGTCTAGTGGCTAAGGTACTCGGCTGCTGACCCGCAGGTCGCGGGATCGAATCCCAGCTGTGGCGGCTGCGTTTTTGATCGAGGCGGATATGCCACAGGCCCATGTGTTCAGATTTGGTTGCACGTTAAAGAACCCCAAGTAAATTTCCGGAGTCTTCAATACGGCGTTTCTCATACTCATGTGGTGGTTTTGGGTCGTTAAACTCTACATATCAATCAAATCGAATCAGGCTACCTTTCTTGCTGTTGAAAAACCGATAGACCGCAGGCAGCACTGCGAATCGAGCCCAGTACTTCCCGCGTTGGGGGCGGACGCTGTACCATTTCGTCACCACTGGGGTTCTAAGAGCCAGTCTTTAGATGAGACATGCACATCCGCGAATCGTCTTGTGGTCAATCACAGGATGTCCTACGGACGTGTTTGTATGTAGGTTTGTGAATTTGTACTTATACTATGGTTTGGAAATTTGTCTCTCCCTCTTTTTATTTCCCTTACCTCGGTTAGAAGGCTTCAGACACGCTGTCTAAGCCGACATTTCGTTCTCCGTGTTCATTAATGGTGCACTCTGGTGGTACCGCCGAATTAATCGCGCCAATACGTGATGAAGATGGAACACGACTTGCATACCTGCTTGTTGTGGTTTTACAGCTTCAGTATAGCTGGTGAATTCGTCACTTTTAAACACGGTCAGAATGCTCTCAAACGACTTCTCTAATTTCTCATAAATTATCTCGCATCCTGTCATTGTGGCTGAAGAAGCGAAGTCGAATGATCATTCTGCCGTAGTTCGCACCGTGTTTGTAGGTGGCAGCTCATTAAAAAAAAACATTCATCACGTTCTCGCCGCATGTGAGTGATACGTCTGTTCAGGTTCGTAGTGCAGGCATTTAACGAAGTCGTATCGATAATTTATAAATGCAGTTCCTTTCCGCGTACAACAGAGTGTTGGCATTCTGTCCCTTGTAACATTCGCTACTTTCCACGGAAAATTTTTAGTCGCACTTGAAGAGCATAGTCATGCGTTATTTTGTTTTTACGTCATCTGATTCATGCTGTCGCCCTTTATAGGCCGATGAATGAATGAATGAATGAATGAATGACAAATGAAATATTACACTTGCTGTATATTTAAAATAAATAAAAACGCTCGCTGTAATCTGCGCCAGGCTTCTTCGCCGCTGCGACCAGCAGGCGTGCAGTCGCAGTGTGCCCACGTTCTTCAGACAGCCGAGCAACAGGCGGTGACGGCATCGGAGGCACGTCGAGGTATTTTTGAACGACGGGAAGTTGAGGCCGGCCGCGGGGGCGTTTAGGATTCGCTCCGTGAAAGCTCGCAGTTTGCGCAGCTGGCTGCCGATGACGTCACGCGCCTTCCAGAGGCCGCGGTCGCGAATCTTTTTGAAAGCTTTCGTGCCGGCAGTCGTCGTTGCGCTACCGAATTTGAGAAGTATGGCGCTGCCACACCCATTGAGCAATAGCGAAGTCACTCGCAGTTGGCTTTGGGACAATGCGGTGTACTATTGTTTAACACAATGCGGTGTCGATCACTATTCCAAAAACCTTCTTGGACAATGGCGTAGCCAGGGAATGACATATTGAACCCGTGCCCCCCCCCCCCTCTCTCTATTTTTTGCATGACATTTGGAGCATAAAATGACACTCAAGCACATTTTCCTGCCCGGCCACCACTTTAGAACAAAACGGATCCCCAACCCCGCTCTACATGAAATAAAATTTTTGCCTACGCCCCTTTTCTTGGAAAATGTAACAGTTCTGTTCCCTATCGAAGTCTCTTGGCTGTAGTGCGATTTAAGCCCTTAAGTGGTACCTCCCTTAAGAATGTTTAAATACATAGTGGTGTAATGTGGATCGTAATTGAAGCACGAGGCGAGGCACTTCATTTTTGAAGCAAGGAAGAGCCTTGTGCTGGCGTGCATGCGAGCTTCATCCTAGAGATTAGTGGTCGACCCTTTTATTTGAGCAGACGTGCTCAAGTTCACGGGATTGTGCGCCCTAATTGACCGGTGGAAGCTGGTTGTTCATTCCACTCTTTGCTGTTTAATGTCTAAAATAATAATAATTATATAATAATAATAATAATAATAACTCTGAGTGTGTTACGTTCCAAAACCACAATATGACTAAGAGGGACAATAGCTTGGGAATATTAGAACACCTGGGGGTCCTGAACGTGTGGCCTAAATATGAAAATACGCGAACTCGAGCATTTCACCTTCGTGGAAAGTTTTATGCATAAAAAAAAAGCCCTGAGATTTCCTCTTCTTTCCTCGAGAAACATCATGACACTAAAATCACTTTCTGGGGATTACTCTGCGTTGAAGTCGGCCAACACGTAACACGAAACGCTAGCGTGCGCACTAAAGCGTTGATAGACGCAGAAAATCTCACAGCATGAGCACTGGTGCATAAACTAATAGTGACGGTGAACCTATCACCTGCTTGTGAAGTATGCGTGTGCGTGTGTGCGTGTATGTGCGTGCGTGCGTACGTGTGGATAAACTTAAGTAGTAAATTTGTATGTTAGGAATAGGGGGTATCGACATACCTGTGCTAGGGGCAAAGTTACTGATTTACAGGCTTGATGTTTCTTCAATCATTTTAGTGTAGGAAACACGACAATCATAGCGTGGCATACGATTTAGGCAAATATATGTCGTACTGCCATCGTGTTGTTTGCCGCACAAAAATCGAAAGTGGAGTGCCAACAGACTGAAAACTGTGTCGATCCATGCCGCTTTTCACCATAACTTTTCTTAATTTTGGGTATAACAGTATAATGACCATTATTCAATATTAGGCTTCACAAAGACGGCAAAGTTAAGGTTTCTGTCTTCAGTAAGGATGAGAGCTGGGCTAGCTGGTGACTGACTATCATACCGTGTGATTTCTTTGTTAAATGAAGCGAGTGCACGTGTTTTGATGTTTTGATTTGCAGAGCACAAACAATGAGTGCTTGTTGAAATTTACAGTGCGTGTTTCAAACATATGCTTCTAGGCTGTATATAGCAAAAAGGTATTTTTTTTTTCGTTTGGGTGAGAATGAGTAACCCAAGGCGCTTTAGTATCTTTTTTTCCTTGGTGTTGTGCTGCAGGACGTGATAGACACCCATCCGGGACTTACGTTTCTTAAAGAAGCCGTGGAGTTCCACTCGAGGTATATTAATACGGTGAGTCACCTCACGTTACTAGTGTAATTATTGCATTTGCATAAATATCGCCACAAGCTGACACGCTAATGATTCCTCTATCTCCATACGATTAAGGGAGCCCTAATTCACCCACGTCATTGTGGGATCGAATAACGGATAAACCAAATATATAAAAAATTACACCATCTCCCACTAGAGGGAACCACGCTGAGATGCGAAGCGGCGTTGGTGTTCATTTGGGATTTCGTTTGTTGTTTCCATTTCGGTGTTTCCGTGTATGCTTCATTAGTGTGTGCAGTTGTGTATACGTTGAGTTCCGCTTATGTTACCACCCCCTCCCAGTTGCGCGTAATACCGTGTGTGTGTGTGTGTGTGTGTGTGTGCCGTTCTGCAAAGTGAACACCAAGCGCTGCCAGGATAGTGCAACGGCGCGAGCAAGGGCAGCCTTATATACAAGCGCACAGCTGAGACGGAAAGATAAACGGGAGAGCAGAAATGAAGTGGAGGTGCGCTCTTCCACCTCCTTGCGCTCACGCGAGGAGAGGAGGGAGAGTTGGCGCATGCGCAGTGTGGGAGCGGATGGTCGCCGAGGGACGGACACAGCCCCGAGCAAGAGTTTCTTCGCATTTAAAATTGTCCGTCAGTCCACATTGTGAAGTTGGGGGGTAGGGGTGAAGCTGTTTCAAAGCACGGAACTTGGATGACATGAAGCACACTAGTTTCGTATTTAAGGCCAACTTGTGAACGTGCCCGTTGGCATTGAAACCATCCTGCAGCGCCTACCGCTGCTAATTGACGATGAAAGCGCCATTGAGCTGCACATTGAGTTAGCTGTTCGCTCGCCAAGCCCACCTACAAGACTGCATTCTCCACTTCGTGACATGTGTGCGCGACATTTCTTGTTTATGAGTAGTCTTCATTACAAATACAATGTGGGCAAGCCAGCCTACAACAAAAACTGATCCAACAATGATCTTTTTAATGTGGCTTTTACTTTTAAGCAGAAGTACATTGCTAAGAAGACATTTTTAGGGGAAGTGTAAGCCATTTTAAGTTAGAGTATGGCGGCCTTAGGACCCTTTATTTAAGTGCACGATGTAGCACCGAGGCGCGTGCGTCTCAGGGCAGAGAGCGGGAGCGTCAGTTTCTCGTTTGATTTGACTGTGTTCTAGCGTGGAGAGCTGCCATTCTGAGGAGCCCGAGGAAGCTAGACTTTTCCCTCGCGGATGCCACGAAATCACACATCTTAGCTATATAGAGCTTTGCAGGGGGAAAAAAAGGACAGCAAGAAAAGTAGATTCACTTCGAGATTTTTACAGTATAGACCCTTTCACTGTTTACAAACACAGACCCTTGATGACATCCGGTTTCATACACCGATGTGCCTGAATAGCATTGGTGGGCAAGAAGAGCGTTAGAAAATAGCCCGCTTATTTTCTACACTTCTCTTCCCTTATTTGGCGAAATATGTTCAAACAAATGTTCTTTTGAGCTACATAAAAACTATACGGAATCGCTTTGAATATTACGCACGTTCTTTTTATGTGAAAAACTGATAAGAGACTTTTCTTACCTTTGAAAAAAAAACGTGAAAACGTCCTTTTAATTTAGACGTTACGATCTGGTAAATGGGGTGACCGGTAGTTCTTTTGGGGCACAACGCTTGCAATCTTTAAACCGTCTACTGATGTGACGTAATGAGAATAATTTATTCACATTCGCACTTCTACCTTATGTTTAAAGAGGTGTGATACAGCGCTTCAAGCCACCCAATTCTTCAATGCAAGCAAGACGCTGCTCAGATGACAAAACGCGGCGGCGAAGAGTTGTCACAGAATAGCTAGTTTATCTTCTATCGAAATTTCTCGATTTACTTATACAGATATTCATCCGCTTTACCCATGGTTCCCATTCTTTTTTTTCTTGTGACGTCATCTTTATCTCCCTTTACAGGTAATCGCTAGGATATTCTACTGTGTAAATAGGTCGTGGAGTGGCAGGATCACCATACCCGAACTCAGGAAAAGTAACTTCTTACAGGTAAGTGAACTGTGTTTTTTTTCTTTATCTCGTTACGTTCGTGTTGATCACGTTATCTAGTTGCTGCTTAGGGGACTTCATCCCTGTAGAGAATGGAGTAATCGTGGTGACTAAAGTTGAATATTTAAGTCGGGCTTCAAAAAAAGATGTGTGTAAGATGCTGGCATGTTCTCACATGCATCACTAGAATGACTGAAATATACGACAGCATTATAACTTATCTCCGTATATCCCATATATCTCCGTATAACCTCACATGCACTCCATATGTCTCCTATACGTTAACGTCAGCAGTGCATAAGGGTTTATCTGAACTGCACAAACATGAGTAAATTAGCAAAAATTAATTAATAATAGGCAGGTTCTAATGCCTGCAGGGGTTTAGGAGAGCGTTCAGCTAATTCGTACGTTGTCGGTAAGTTGTTGGTAAGTTGTTTGTATGAAATGCAGGGGTTGTTTGGCATGATCTAGTGCGCGATAGGCGAGCTATTACTGCAGATGTGGCGAAAGCTGTCTTTCCTTATCACCCAATTTGGCCTATTGCCCGCGCTCGTGTAGTTATGTCAACGCTCCGCGGGTGTCGCTGGCGACACGTCTATAGGCTTTAAATAGGATTATATATGCGTGTGTCTATACGGTCAAAGCATCGCTCATCGCCGTCCCTATATGAAGCCCATATACAGAAATGAGAGCCAGCGTACAATGGCGCGCACAGCGACTAGTATAATGAACATGAGCAGCTGTTTTAGAAGCAACCAGCGCGTTGATTGCCTTTACGCACGTACTCGTGGTTATTTATGGCTCACAGCATTCACCCAGCACGTGCATGTTCTGTTCGGTTCATTCGTTCACTCCGTTCTCTAAGCTTACGTTTTGGAGAAATCGGTGAAATATAACAGACAGTACAGTTTTCCGCTATCGTTGCTGCTCTTACATATACGTTTAGTTGGTTCGATTGCGGGTTTGCGCGAGGGGGCGTAGATTATGCACGTACGCTCGCGCCTATCCTCTTCACACACCAGCGTCCACATTTGTAAACATCACTTTTTAAGTAGGTTACACAGCAGCCAACTGCCAAATGTCGATGAATACTGGCACCTTTGTCACTCGAATGTTTTTTACTCATTCTCCATGAGCGAGCATCAGAAGTGTATATTAGCGGCCGTTGTGCGAACAAAGCAAAATGCAGTGTGCAAGTGGTCCAGCATGCAGCTGCTTAGGCATTGCTGCTTAATGTTCCTCAAACTTTTCTGTATAAAAAGCAGCGCGAACACAATGCTATACCATCGGTCTTCGGGAATGAGTAAAAGACGTTTCAAGCATGTGCGACTTAGGATTTGCATTCATCGACAGTGTTTTTGACATATTTGTGATTAAGGCCAGTCGTTGACTCCCATTTTTACCTTTTGAAAATGAAAGTTTTGTCGCGATGTTTTTTTTTTTGCACTTCTGGGACACACGTGAAAGACGATTTTGTAAACAGCATCCTTTTTTTCTTTTTTATATCTTTGTTCGGTAGTGAAGAAGTGTTTCGTGCGAGAAACTTGAGTGAAAGATGTAATGCGTGATTGCGTTAAATGGGACGCGGCTGCGGCTGTCTATTGTTTGCCGTTTTGCGCGACTAGCAATGCTGTAGAATGATTGTTTCTTTCTTTGTTTCTTGCTTTATCACACGAAATACAAGTACGATGACGTGTGGTCAAGATGACGTTGTATGGTGACGTGAAGAGCCGAGATATGAAGCACGCCATGCAGCGAGGAGCTCAGCGTTACATTTACCCACCTTGGCGTTTTAAAACGTGCGCCGAAATAGAAATAGCGCATTGGCGTTCTTTCTCTTCTCACCTCATTGAAATATGGCCATGGTAGCTGGGAATTGAACTCGCGCACTTACGCTTTTACAGCGCAACGCTGCAGCTCGTTGAGCCGTCACGGCAGGTAGATTAGATGAAGAAAACGACAGAACAGAGTCACCAGTCATGAAGCCACAAGAAAATCCGTACGAATTTTCCAGAAAGAAAATCCTCTTACCTGCCGAAAAATTTATTCTGGTCTGGGGTTAAAACCCGGGACCAATGACATTTCGGGGCGTTCGCTCTTCTAATTGAGCTAACCAAGAAGCTAGCAATTGACAGCGTGAGGGCGAATTAGTCGACATCTTGAAGCACAAAGATACACGTATTGCAAATGAGTTCTACGGAAACCTGCAGTGTGGTGGAGAGGTTATGAGAGGGAAATAAGACAGTCACCCTACTTAACCTTTCCGTCAGCCTGTGGGTTTCCGTAGAACTCATTTACAGAATAAAAGATTTACCCACATTCCTTCAATGAAGTATACGTGTTCTAGAAAAAGCATCGTCAACCATTGAAAAAACAAAAACATGCCACCATGATGTAATTCACGTGGTGTGCGTCACGAACACGCAGGTACTGTCCCTACTAGAGGAAGAGGAGGACATCAACCAGATCACTGAGTACTTCTCGTACGAGCATTTCTACGTCATCTACTGCAAGTTCTGGGAGCTAGACAAGGACCACGACCTGTACATCGATCGGTACGACCTGTCCAGGCACAATGAAGGAGGTGCGTACTGTAATGCGAAGGACGCTGAACTGGCTTTGAATCAGCAGACAAATGATAGTATACAATTTTTATGGCGTGATGTGCGTATATAATTTAAGGCATTGTTGTGAATGTTTTTTTACACATAAATACATTTTAATAGCGGAGCTGCTTAAGCTTGGAGTGGCGCTGTTCATCGACCGCGCAATATACTCTCGAAGCAGGGAAGAGCGAAGCTAAAAGAGGAAGAAAGCGGACTGTATTTATGCATTGCATGGGTAGAAGAACTGGACGAGAGTAAGTGCATAAGATAGCTTAGCGTACTATAGCATAGTATAGCATGGTATACTGTACGTAGTATACATTAGTATACCATAGTGTAGTAGTCTATAGGTTAACGAAGGCGACTTTGAGGTTGCAGACAAGCTAGGGAAGGTATACCCAGCTCTGCTGTATCCTAAGCTTTTGTACTGCTATTGGGTAGCTATCCAAATGTTTAAGGCGAAATCCTTTAATGTCATATACTCACATTCACCCGTTCATGCCCTGGAACGGTTACACATGTGGCCTCTCTCCTCACTCTCTCAGCAATCACGTGATGACACAGCGGCACAAAGCAATGGTAGCGCTGCCACAACAATGGCCTCTCCTCCGTACACTCTATCCTTGTGAAAGCCCTTGAGGTCCATGAGTAGTCACTAGACACTGAGCAAAAATTAACATGGTTGCTGCTGAGAGGGTGTGAAAAAAGACGCAAGGCATAGTCAGTCGAATGGTCACGGGCTTTCGCCGAATGCACTTGGGAATTCACAAAGCCTTTTTCCAAGTTTCGCTTTTGAACCCTCTTATAGCTCATAATTGAAAATTATGAACGTAATCCAACTGGCCCAACTTGCCATCTTGCTGCCTCTTATAGCTGTAGTTTAATTCTGTAACTTGACTCGTAGTGTTTTTGTTTTTTTTTTCACTCCAGCTATCTCTATGCGGATGATCGACAGGATCTTCTCCGGCGCCGTTACGCGGTAAGAAATGGCTGGTTTTGTGCTCAGAATCTATGAGGTGGCACCACATTAATATCTGTGGGTTTATCTCTATTTATTGTATGCTTCAATGACATGAAGTTCTTCATTATTTTAGTGACGATGAAATAGAGCTCATTTTTTACGCGCTATTCGTGACAGACACGTGACATACATATGTCACGTGACGTGACTCTCATGCCGGCTCCTTGCTCTATGGCACGATAATGACTCGTATTCTAATATTACCCGGGGTTTACGTCCCAATGCCACTATATTATTTGAAAGATGACGTAGGGGAGGGTTCAGGAGGTTTCCATCACCTGAATTTATTAACGTGCTCCGACATTGCACAGTATGCGGGCATCTACCATTTTCGCATTCATCGAAATGTGACAGCCGTGGCCCACATCCAACCAGCGACCTTTGGGTCAGCGGCCGGGCAACCTATAACCAGTATACACCACCCCTGCGGACGTATTGTATTCGCAGAAACCCTTTACGCTGGTAATGCTTGTAAAGTAACAGCTTCGTTCAATCGTTACGTTGCACGTGTAATCAGGAAGGGCGATCGACTGGTGCCTAAGGACAATTAGGGGGGAAAATTGTGAATTTCACAAAATATTTTGCATCGCAAGCATTTTGCCAAGGGGCTGCGAACTTTGCTAATAATATGTCCGGTCATCACGACTGGAAGAAACTTGTTCTTTGGAACGATTCCATCGTAATTCTTACGCTGATTCGGGCCTTGTTAAATACGAACTGTGAGAAGTGAGTCCCATCTAGTTTTCGCGAAAACAGAACAAAATGGCAGTCGCAGTTTCGCAATTTAGTAAGTGGATGAAATATTTGGAATACTAGTAACACTGTAGGCAGGAGCGTGAAATGCGCGTTTGTGCTCGTTGTGTCTTACATCATTTGTCACTGACATCATATGCTGTTTGCCTGCAATACATTGCACCACGACCGACAAGTGATACTTTGGTTACCTTTTTTTTTTTATTCACATGGTGTAAGGATATGTTGGCGCACAAATAAGGCGCCGGCTATTCCTCAGCTTTACAGGCAACGAGCATACAGTGTCCAAAATTTTCGAATTCAACAAATGCGTCATGTGACCATTTTCTAAATTTGTTGGTTTCCTCGTTCTCCAGGGGTCCGGTTCAGAAGGAAGGAAAAATGAGCTACAGCGAGTTCGTCTGGTTCATCATTTCCGAAGAAGACAAGCGGCATCCTAGGAGGTACGGTCACTTTCATGTTCCTAGATTGCATGCGTGGCTCTGAATCATGGCTCAGCAAAGCTTTGCCATCCAGTTGATTGGGCTAATGGTAATTTTAGTGTTCGTTTAATATTACAATCACGCGTAGAATCTCAGCATCCTGTCCGTCAATAAATTGATCGAACAATCAGTTAATTGAGTTTCAACTATTTTGTCAAGGCTTTAATAATATGATCACAAACTGAACATTAAACGCAAGGAAGTCCAGAATTGAAAACTGTCAGGGGAATTTCTCTTGACAGTTTTTATGCATATAACCATAGACGAAGCAGAAATGTGGCTGCAACTGTGAAAACAGCTTGCTGATATAGTTTTCGTTCCTGCCAGTGCTAACCCATGTCTCGCAAAAAAAAAGCGAGAGAGAAAACATTTTCCTGCTCTGTCGTCATTGTTGTGAATTAACTAAAGCTGGTATTGCTAAACAGAGCAGCATTATATTACCATGGCTGCTAGAATAAAACGTGCTTTTTGATCCAGCAGCCGTGGTATAACTGACGCTATTCTCGAAGACGAAATAAATGCGCTACGCAGTGCGCAGGTTTGGGCTGTATTTTCCTTGGCAGCTAGCAGCCTGATCGTTGTTTCATGTTTGCGCTCTTCTACTGTAAGTAAGTTTCTTTCATTAAAAGTGGTCGCTTCATATTGAGATGTGCTCTTCTGCGGAGTTGTCAGCGTTAATATTACAAATCATTGCTCGTCTGAGTTTCTTTTTTTTCCTCTCTGACGCGTGTATGCTCGCAGCATCGAGTACTGGTTCCGGTGCATGGACATTGACGGTGACGGGTACTTGTCGATGTACGAGCTGGAGTACTTCTACGAGGAGCAGCTCACACGCATGGAAGCGCTGGGCATCGAAACTCTGCCATTCAGTGACTGTCTTTGTCAGGTGAGGCTTTGCCTGATGCGCGCGCCTCGAGGTTCTTACGATGCACAGTGCTGCTCGTGGGCTCCTCTTTCATGCCTCGCACTGCTGCGAAAATTGTTTGCCGGAACACGGGGTCCTTGCACCAGAGACGTCGATTGGGCCAGGCTGATGTGGTCGAGTGTCATTTTGAGCTCTGTATGTCGTGGCAAAAAAACTTTTTTCCCGAGACAGGGGGGTAGCGGGTGGCACACCGAGCTCGGGCACGGCGTGCCATCCCTTGGCTACACCACTGTCATGCACTATGTCTCTCCTTTTCCCAACGACAGCTCATTCACAGAGCCGTCAGCAATATGGCCGCAAAATAAAGCAGGAACGAATCTACTTTGACTTAAGCAGCGTCAGAAATGGTGTTCTGGTGCAAGTCTACATTACCATCGCTCTTCAACTCTGCAGCACAGTGGAGTTGAACAGCGATAGGCTGTCATGAGCCCAGTTATCGATGCGCTTTGTTTTTTTTTAGATTGATCACAGCTATGACCGTTGACTAACATTTTTGAGTTAATTAATGATGAAGGCGTGTTCACCCAATCAGAGACATATGAAAGCCCTTGAGGTCCATGAGTAGTCGCTAGACACTGAGCAATTTTACACTCTCCTAAATAGGATTAGGCGTTTGCCCCTCTCAGGGGAGCTAAGGATGAGCATAGCTTTATTGACGGGAGATTAGCACACGGGAAAAATACGAAGTGATAAAAAATTGTACGTTTGTCATCGCCATGAAAAAAGCACCCCCTGAAAATAGCAATATTTTTAAAAACATGTCAGAATTTTTTTTTTATGTATGAGGCTACCTTTTATTTTTTTTAGAGTGCCTAATAACCTTTCGGCAGTAGTTTTATGTACCGGCAATGATGGTGATGAACAGCGTAAGCACGCCATATATATTTTCGTAAATGTGGAGAAATGTCTTTTTCTGAATACTTTTATGGACATTTCTTATTGTTAGCCCTTTCGTTAATACCTACCCTTTCTGCGCACAGATGCTGGACATGGTTCAGCCTAAGCAAAAGGGCAAGGTGTCGCTGGCCGACCTGAAGAGGTGCAAGATGACGCCCATTTTCTTCGACACGTTCTTCAACCTCGAGAAGTACCTCGACCACGAGCAGCGAGACCCCTTCGCCTCGAGGGTAAGCGCCGTCCTTCTTCCAAAGAAAATTTTTTTAAAGCTTGCAGACACACGTGCACACCTACGTCATATTACTTCAATGGACCGTGCACTCACGTGCATATTTTACAGGAGACGGCTTGTAACTGTCAGCACTCCGCTTCGGAAGCATACTTGATTGATTGATTGATAGATATGTGGGGTTTAACGTCCCAAAACCACCATATGATTATGAGAGACGCCGTAGTGGAGGGCTCCGGAAATTTTGACCACCTGGGGTTCTTTAACGTGCACCCAAATCTGAGCACACGGGCCTACAAAATTTCAGCCTCCATCGGAAATGCAGCCGCCGCAGCCGGGATTCGAACCCGGGACCTGTGGGTTCGGAAGCATACTTGCATGTGTATTATGACTGTTCAGTGAACAGTGAAATTCTCATGTCGAGTAAAATATCGGAAAATGCGGCCTTTTCCAAGAAGAAAGAATGAGAAAACGCGGCCGAAATTCTGACGCCTGTCATTTTCTGCAATAAACTCAATGTGCCTTTTTTTTAGCTGATTCAACTGATTAACTTGATAGACGACACGCAGGATAATATGGAAGGTCAGGCCTTTTGCAGGTCCATAGCTGCTTGATCAAGTGATTAAGGTGACAGGCACATTCGTGACTCGCGTTCGACGAAAATTAAATACGCGGAACGAACTAATACTGAAATTTCTAGTCTGGTTCATCTTTCGAAATAGGTATGTCTTGTTTTCATCGCAAGTTTCGAAAATTCGCACACCCATTAATAATTCCAACGTGTCCACCGGAGCTGGCTTCACCTCAGTAAGTAACTGTGTGAGAAGAAGCCCACTTCACAATTACATTGCTTTTTTTGCAGATTTTTAAATATTCATTTCATATTCTAAGTAATAACTGAAATAAGCAATTGTTGCAATTAAATTTACCGAGACGTAAGTGTACCCCCAGCTTATGTTTAAAACATGTACTGCTTGGCTCTCGAGGTATATGCATAGCCAAGAGCTTTCCTGTACAGATAGCTTGTCCGCATCACGAATCGTCGTAAGAAAAAGCCTGCTTCACAAATTTCATTTATGTCTAGGTGTAGAAAGGCGTATGTAAATTTCTCTTTCTGCGCTTATTGCTGAAAGCACTTCCAAGTAACGTACTTACATACTTCTGCAGTGCCTAAGTACACCGTCAGTTTCGCAGCGTCAGCTGCTACAAACACTCATAGCTGAAATGTCGTGGCTAATTCAGTTTCGACACTTACAGCCTTTTGATCTTTCGTGTGGCACGTATAGACGTGCCTGCGCACACGCGACAGCATCAGTTGTCAGAAAGCTCATCGAAGCTTGTTCAACAAGAGCGTGTAAGTGCTCTTCAAATGAATTCCATAGAAAAACTAGAATAAATATAGAGGTGAAACTTTGTGTGATAGGTGGGCACTACTGAGAATTACATAAACTGTAGCTGACTAGACTAGTTGATTGTGCATACTTTAGGTCAACAACGCGGAAAAAAACACGGTCACAGACAGGAAATGCTTGTCCAGTCTTTTTCTGCCCGTGGTTGTTATTATTTTTTTCAGGGTGTTAACTTATCCATAGGCTGTGTAGCGAAATACTATAGGCTTGGCAATTAAGTTCGAAATTGTGATGAAATGGCAGATCTTTCAGGCTCTACAGAAGCCGGCAAATGTCTGTCTCAAGTTTTCGGTCGATGCTCACAGTACAATCTTTTAAAACAGCATTAACCAGGTTATAACTTGTAAGCTATAGAGTGAAAAAGTTCAACTCGCGACTTAAACGTTGAATGCATTATAATGAAGACGGCATCTGCCTAACTAAACACACACTCCCAGAAGGAGTTACTAAGTTGATCAGTCTGTTAGGCGTCGTAATTTTGTGTGTTATTCAAAGATGAAACCTCTAGAATTTGCGCTTTTCGAGGGGTCGAGGTTTTTAAAGATGATAGTCTTTCTTGGCAACCTTCGACGCAAAAAATTTTTATCTGTCTGTCTGTCTGTACATTTGTCTGTCTGTACATTTGTCTGTCTGTCTGTCTGTAAATTTGTGTGTCTGTCTGTCTGTACATTTGTCTGTCTGCACGCTCTTAACGATATCTTAAATGGCACCAAACGATACCTCAAGCGGCCGACCACATTCGCAGCGTCCACCAATATTGCTGAAGTTTTAGCATTCATACTTCTGCGATTGTCAATCAAAAAGCAATTATTGCGCATATCTAGGGCATCACAACAACACGTCAATATTCTGTATCTGTGTCTTCTTACTAGAAAAGACATACATGAGTAATTCTAAAGGCCATAGTGCTTATCATGCTGCGCTGACGATGCAACGCTTGCACGAAAAGGCAAGTGTTTCCAACGCTTTGCTAAACGACACGGTGGTGGCACCTACCAGTCACTTTGCTTTCTACACCTTATTGCCTCCGAGACGGGTGCACAGGCCGCGCGCTTCATTTTCCAAGATAACTGCCAGACAGCACTCATGTCTCATGTGTGACGTGACTTGGTGCGCTCGTTTTCTTCCGCTGCACGCTCGAGGCACTCTAGTGCAGCGCCTCCAGAATACAATTCACTGATTTTTTGGCGCAGAACATCAAATAAACGTTTTGTTCACTCTCTCCAGACAGAAGACTATCGTCTTTCGACGACATTTGCAGTGTAACATGCAGATATGGGGCCACTTTTTTCCCTACGTTCGCGTCATCCGTGACCGTGCACTAGTGTTTATACATTCCACAAAAATATGCGCCAAAAGCGTTGTTACATTTTCAGGACCACGACGGAGACGGAATGGAGATCTCTGACTGGGACCGGTACGCTGCCGACGAGTACGAGCTTCTGGTGGCCGAAGAAGGGAACTTCGAAAACCACGAGCTGTAAGTACATACCGCTACAAAACACTCCGTAGAACTATTTCACTTCGCACGCAACACACCAAACCTAATTTTGTATCAAACACAGGGCACAATTATGTCCGGAGCGACGTAGTGTGAAAGTAATGGTGGTGACGCTAATGGAGCAGAAAGGCTTTGCCTCCCGTGCATAGCCCACAGTTTTGTGGCTTGAACTTCTCATGAATTCATAATAGGGTCGCATCAGCAAGTGTGGAACAACGCCGCGGCTCGGAGAAATTCGAACAGTACAGTCGTATCAACAGAGGCACTCAAGGAGACTACTTTAGAGATCTCTATTAGGTTCAAGAACGTCATAGCAGTCATCTTTTCTGACACCGAGCCCCGCACGTTGTGTCAGGCGTGGCTCGTGCTTCCAATCAAATGCTTTAGTACGATCTAAAAAAGCGTGTTGCATGTACGACGATTTCACACGAAAATATAGATGTGGTGCCTCGTATTACAATCGCATGAACGTCAAAGAGATTGCACATGTCCCTATAACGCTACATATAGGTACATTTGTACTCATTCGCTTTTCGTACTTTTCAGTCGGTGTGAGCCGAAAAGCCTAAGACAAAACTCAGTTCCGCCATACTTCTCATGTTTAAACTGCTCTTAGTTATTGTATTAAGCAACCGCATTTGAAAAGCCCTGTCACGGCGAGTATCAAATTCGTTAGCCCTCTGATAGTATTCTTGCGAATAACTATGCTCACACTCACTAGAGGTCGCAAGTAACAGCTCTTTTACTATACGTTTTTAGCCTGTACTGACAAGCATTTCTAAGTGAATTCAACTACCTTACTTACCACATACATCCAGCCCAAGTTAGAACTTACCACAGGATAATGTTAAAAGGATAGAAATGATCTTAGGTAATCGCACTGAAAGTTACTTGAACGGACCGGACAACAGATGCTCTGTGTCGCGTTCTGTTTCAGTCCGTCCAAGTAAGATAGCATATGCTTACCCAAGACTATAGTCTAGCGTTGGTTACTTGATTGTAATCGGCTAGTTCTGGCTCATGATGGTTAATGCTGGCCATCAGGTTTTAAAAAGCATGGTTTTCACTCAGTTGCCATCCACCGATTGAGTTGTCTACGAAATATATTTATCATGTCACTCGAGTTTGTGCGCTAACTTCATTGTTCTTTCTCCCGTCTTTGGCGTAGCTTGTACAGTGACTATGACCCGGACGACGACGACCTGTCCCCGAACCTGGAGAAGCTCGCGGCACCGTTGCGCTGCCGGACGGCACGCACGGCACGTCTGGACGACGACGAGTACGACTACGCGGAGTCGGACACTGACTACCACTACTGAGGCTATGCATATACTCCAACCGACAGAGTGACTTACGAGTAAAAACAGCGTCGACTAGTGCCGTTCACGCGGACTGCATCGTCTATGAGTGAACTACGGTGTGACTCATGCGTGTGCCGTCCAACGGACCAGACAGTTTGGACGCGGACTCTTACACGTGCCTCACACCGTGTGATTCAAACGCTTCAACGGCGGGGCTGTTTGTACTTCGCCGGCGTTATGCAGGAAAAGTATGCACAAAGTCGCTATATGTGGTTGTCGCGCCGCCACACAAGTCGCGGCTGCGGCATGTGCACACCACTTTCCGGACGACCAGAAATGCTAAGAAACGCAAATCATTGACCACAAGCCACGCGGAAGCACGTCTGTGCTTTTGTGCGAACCCTGTGAGATCTTAATCGTGACCAGGAATTCGCGAAACACCTCGGAAGAGATGTCGAAGCTTAGCAAGAAGTCCAGCGTCCTCTGTTCGCACTCGTCCTCTATGCACGCTCTCCGCTGGAGGTCCTTTTTCCTACATCCGTCCAAGTTAACAGTTTTGTGGAACGCCGAAGTGAAGCCACAGGAAGAGTTGAAAACCTCGTGCTTGTCCACTGCTAGATCGCCCTGTTTGTGAACTTCAAAGCGAGCGAAGAACAATATACGCTGCCAAAGATTACCATCCCATCCAGAAAGTAGCTGAGGGCCTTTGCCCGCAACGTGTGCCCAGAGTGCCGAGGACACATTACATACCCTTTTTTGTGATGACACGTGCCTTGACCTGTTTTTTTCTTCATCGATTAAGGCCTGGCGCCGATTTCTACATAAAGCACAGTGCTTGTTGCTACGGGATGCGCCTTCTTTTCTACGTGAATGCTTTTTTTTCTTTCCCTTTTTTTTTGCTAGTGTGCGGATGGACACAGATTGAGCACACCGCACCGATGATCTTGTTGTCAGATCCGTCATCCCGACTGACTGTGGCCACAGTGCATCGATCTACCAGTGTCACACAGAGATCGCTTATAACCGTGGGAAAAGCTGCAACGTCCATTAGCTCCTTGGTGCTTCAAAACATGACGTCAAGTCCACAGCTTGCGGCTGCTGTGCTTGTGGTGCGTTGAGATTTTAGTGCTAAGCGTGATGATTGTGTGTACACCGATAGAGGGTCACTAGATGTTCTGCGTCCTGGTAGATGCTTTGAACCTCTGACGTGAGCGAAATGACAAGCCGGAACGCAGTGCACCATCTAACCAAGGCTTATGGTTTCATACGAACGATCCTTGTGTAATATTTTTGTCATTACAAAGACAGATGGATTATTACTGTGAATCTGCGAGTCACGTGGGCGTCGTCGCTACTGAGCCCCGCTATCTGATTAGCATGCCCCTCTATCTGATAAGCGGCTCGGAACCGCTGATTACGTATTGGGGTCGCTGTAGATAACGCTTGTCTTTTATTGTTGTGTCACACTGGTGAGTGCTTTTGTGATGCGTCGTCGCGCAGTTCTTAGTTTTCGTTGTTTGTTTGAGATTTATTGCAGGAAATGTCTTGTTCTGTAGTTTGCCGATAAGCCGTTCAGTCTCCTTATCTCAGTTCCATCTCTTTTTCTCTCTTGTCATCGGCGAAGTCGCGCTATTTTGGGGTGTGAAAAGCGTGAGCTATGTGTCGGATACATTTCTTATATTCCCCTTGTTTCAGGGGACACTCAACGGAGTGAACAAAGTGGTTACTCTGGTAATATATTTCAACTATATTTATTGTTATTGTTATGGCAAATCTATGAAAGGTTGTGCAAATATATTAAATATGCATGGAGTTGGAAAGATGTTCCGAGGGTTTTCAAGAATGAACAGGGAAATAGGGTGAAAATGAATAGTCGGACGTGTATTGAAAGAAAAGATGTGCCGGCTTTCTATACATTTAATGCAGGGCAAGGCGTCAAGGCTATTGACAGGAACGTTCGCCTTTCTTTTTTTCTTTAAAATACCTACATGAAAGTGCCAAAAATACCCAAGTCTTGAGACCTCGACGTTTAGCGAGTATACATGGGGTTTGGAGGGGAACGGTGTGTCGCTTTTGTCATTTCTGAGTTTATAATAGATATCTATTGACAAGGTATAGGATTTTACATAAGTTATCGGGGTATGAGGCAATAGACGACATGTCTTAGTGCGTGCATGTACCACCCTCTCTTACCCACGGCGGCAACTTTTCTTCACAGCAGTGTGGAAGCTACAGGACAGAAGGGTATGCCGACTACCAGGCTAAGAAGTAGTTCTTGAGTTTACCGACAGTTTTCTCATTGGTATCGCTGAAAATAATGACAATTTATTTATTACAAGACTCAAACAGTCGCCGGAAGTCGTATGGGTAAAATACCGTAATTGTTCAGTTTGTAGCAGTGCCTTCTTTTTTTATGTTTCTTACACAGCTGAAAAGCATTACCTTCTCCCAAGGTAAATGTGGCGTTCACGACGTAATAGTTCTGTGTGCGGCGGCAAACGAGTGTCCCCGAAAAACATACTCGCATTTCCAAACTAAAATGTACACTGGTCAATCGAAATGTATCTCCCATTTACATTTCTCGTGTACAATTATTTTTCCTAAACGTGTTAACAATGCGAGCGAGCGACACCGAAATCGGGCGCAAGGAGCCGTACGTATAGTACTTGCTTATCAACACAAATGCACGAAAGCCCCGCCTCCGTCACTGCAATGTCAAGATAAGTGGTCGCCGAGTATATGTAGACAATTTTCCACAGCGGCGCAAGATCACTACCATGTTTTATGACGTGACCGTAACCAGCCGTCTCCTGCAGTTGCCCCAGCCGACGCATTGAACCAGGGAAGCGGCCGTGGCCGTTTAGTGCCAGTAGCAGGGGTTAGAAGCCAACGTGGCAGCACCTATGTAGACGCGACCGCCCGCTTCGATATGAACTCGCGCTTGTTGCTCGCCCACTGTCTTCACAGCAATTATTAAATGATGAAATCAGCTATCGCTTCGAGTCATCTCACGCTGGGGGACAAAGCATCAGGTATGGTCCGTCTTTACTGCTGGGTTTAGTGGTGCTTATTTAGCCATGGCTGCTAAGCCTCATCTGCGACTATTAGAGAATGAATCTTGAAAACACGGCAAAATACCGACGAATACATATTGCTCTCGAAGCTGCAGGACGTAAAGAGAAAGCAAATAAATGCGTTCGTTGCGAATCTATGGGCCGCACAGCGCAGAACGACGACGTGGAAAGTTTTAAGCGGAACGAAACTGCATCTACAGGTGCCGCGATGTCGACTTTTTTGGCGCTGCCGGCTGCTCGCTTTTAAGGCCAAAGCCCCAAAACCGCGAAAATGCTCGCGACAGCGACGAGCGACGCGACGTAGATTGCCTTCGTGCGACTAGTCGCTTGCGCATGCAAACCTCATTCACGCGATGGCTTCGGCGCGCGAATTCCACTGTATATCTGGCGCGAGGCCGTCTACTTGTACCAATAATTCCGCGTAGTCGGCAATATTCAATGTAGAAATAAAATGTGTTGCATAATTGAACGGAAGGGGCTTATTATTGCCTCGCACCATTTTTTTAGGTGCACGTGCGTAAACAATCCGTTATTTCTTCGTTGCGCACACGTGACTCGGGTGGAGAGGAGGTGGTGATTTCGCGGCACATGAAGAGAAACGACAGTACGTCAGTCATGTACATCCTGTTCCGGTGCTTTTAGCACAGCACTTCCGGGCGATGGGCGACGGTTTCCAAATCTGGAGAACCGAGCGATCGCGCGAAAACTACCACGCGACACGTCGCGCGAACGCCCTGTTTCGTTGCTCATAGCATGGCTCGTCGCTGTCGCGTGCATTTTCGAGTTTATGGGGCTTGGCCTTCACCGTGGTAAGGAGACCCCCCACTATGTGGTGATGCCATCTAGTTTGGATTGAACAAACTGGCTGCAGAAAATCGTCTATAGTTTTCTGGGTGATTCCTTTAGGCGCAGTTGCACGCACGTTTAATATTTTGTCAGCCACTTACGATGTAAGCAAACACCGATGTAGTGTGTGCGTTGTGGACAATGCGCATAGGCGGTGTGTGCATACTCTACGCCAAAGAATGTCATCTACTTATACTTCCTTGCATCGTTCCAGTTTTAGCATGCAGTGCACTTTCGCACGTTGTAATGCCTCGAAAATGTATATAAGTTTGAGTGTGCAGCATTCATGCAGTTCTGCACGTGATTTTTATATCTTGCGAGTCTCGACTTGGCCCTCTAGGGTGAACCTCGTAGCTTTGTCGAATTTAGGCCTAGCGACACTCAGTAACTGCTGTTGCGTGAACGTCTGACCTGCCAAGCTTTGAACCTTTTTTTAAGTTTTTTTCGGCATTGTTTTACAGGCATGAAAGCGCAGTTTTGGTCACAGAAACCGTACAGGAATACAAGAGAAAGTTTTGCGGAACGCGTTACCAGGACTGGGAAAAAGTGTTAGTGCCAAGGGCTTTTTTTTTTTGATGTTTGACTCTCGCACGACCACCGTGTGAATGTATCTAATGGATCGAAATAAAGCCATCGAAGACAATACAAGCCAACGCAGACATCATTTTTATCACACCTAAGACTTATTCACCTTGATTTTGGGTAGAGAGCTGGCAACCTTGTCTTTGGCGCTATGGAAGAAGGTATGTTCAACAAGTGGCAGGCAGTCATAGATGGCGCCAGTGTTGCTTGAATTTGGGAGCTGTCTAGATGCTCTTATCGTCTCTGTTCGCATCGCACGCTCATTGTCATGCAGCATACGCTGTTGATATATTGGTGCAGTGTGTTGCGGCGTATCGCACTCGCCTGCAAACTCTTGTCAGAACGCTAGGCCAGACCGGCATCGCAGCCGAAAGGCGGCATTGCAGTCGCTGAGACTGAGACTATATATAGGACAGACATCTGAACTTCTACAGACTTGTGTGAGAAGAAAATGAATGCCCAGTCCGGCCACGCTGGCGAGGTGACCTGAGAGACTGTTGCGCTGTGTAATCTTCGCTTCTTGTCATCTAGAGTAGAGGAAAGTCTGCAGCGTACATGTCGCCGTGTCCTTGCGTAACCCTAAAGCCGGCGCGTCATAAATTCGGAGTCAGCACGTTAAGTTGCCCGTTACTTCCTTTCTAGTCGCTTATTGACCAAAGCTTACGCTATGGAAAATGACTTATCGGTGTTTATGCAGACTTGCCATGTAATGAAAAAAAAAAAGACCACAGCTTTTGTAGCCTGATACTTATGTGCTTCAACATAAAAATGAACGGCTTCTTGACCTCATCAAGATAGCTTGTGTCAGTCCGGCCTCCAATGTTCTGTTTGACAGTGTAAAATTGTAACAATCACCCGCTTAAGTGGTGTTTCATAACCCAGGTATAACGTAAATCAAGAAAACCAAACTGAGCAGGTGGCCTTCACATCACAATTTTATGTCGATTTTATGAAAAGCTAGGCAAACGTTTTCAACGAGATTTGTATAGTGCAACCGTCAGGACGTTCAGCCGTCTATCGATGGACCTGTTTCTTTTTAAGCACATGAGTAATAAGTTCCGAAAACACACTTCTGTACCTAGTATACAACACGCGTCGTTTTCACTCGCATCTAGCCGTCACCGGAACTCATTTGTTACATCCCGTTCGCTTGAAATGAATGGGTCTTTACCGGCAAAATCGTGCGCGTGCTAAGACAGCGTGGAAATAGCTGCGCTTTTTCGCCAGTAGAATTCGTGAGCTCTCATCCAGTGCACAATGCACGTATCACCGTTTTTGTTTCTATTTAGTTCGCCGCTGTTTCGAATATCTCTGTTTACGATATTTATACACTGCACTGATTCCACAGAATGTTCGTTTTTCCTCTGTAATTATCTTTGCCTACCATTTCAATAATTGGTGAGTGTACAAATGGCCTTGATAACAAGTGCTGCGAATTTAGGAATTCGAAATTTTTCAGGCTGCTCTACATTATGCGAAGCTTGGGAAAGTTCAGTGTTATTAAAACACTGCTTTGTTGATTTTGTTTCTTCCTCTCCCTCTCGCTCAAATGCGCGCAGTGTAGACTTCTTGCTTTAGAAACGAATTTTCGAGCAGGTCTTACTAATTATTGCCCAGCATTGTTTTTTTTTCTATATTGCACCTTATTTATTATTGATATATAGAAGGAAAAATCGGAAGAGGGAGGATATGTTTCAATGATTGTAATGGCACCGACTCCACCATTAATAATTTGCACTTGTAAAGCCGTGCTATTATCTTTGCTCGTTCAAAAGTGTGCACGCGCTACGGAGACGAGCTCGTCATACAAGACGCGCTCGTCCTTCGTTTTCGGTATTTCGAAATGTAGGCGGTAAGAATTACTATTTATTTGACATCTATAGTTACATTTTATATACGAAACCCATGAACTATCAATGATATACGTAATACCACTCTCTACCCGCTTTGACGATGATTTGGATAACCGTCACAGCGACGGCAACGGCAAAAGTTTGTTTGGACTGTCTACATAATTCCTACCGGTAGAAATGAAATTACAAGTCCTAATTGTAAACACAAGTTGCAAATATATGATGCAAAACGCGCAGTTATGCTTCTGATTTATTGGAAGTAGTTGTTGAGTAATCACTAAACGCTGTAATTAAGGGAAAAAGATATCCTGCTACACTTTGTCCGCAGCAATAGGTTATTATCGGGAGCATTGATGCGCTCAAGATAAGCGGTGTTTTGCGCATGGTTTGTGCACTTGTTACGTAGGCCGAGCGCTGGGCCTTGTTACACGAAATCTGTACACGCTTACTTAGTTCGTCTAGAGT